GAACATTTCAGTTGCATTGCTGTCTATGGGAGGGTCAGAGAGCTCATCAGTATCTTAATTTGTGTTCAGAAGATGAACGTAGGTCTTACGGGTTTGACACCACACGAGGGTGAGTAATTAATGACAGAATTTTCATTTTGGGGTGAACTAACCCTTTAATATATAATTTTTTACAATGTGTGAAGAATATGAAGGATGAAACTAGAACAGCTAGAAAACAGCCTGAATGTTTCATATGCACTATAGAAAATACATGTACTCTTTTCTAACAAATGGCTTTCCGTCTGATGATTTCACTGATTTAAAAAAAAAAGTTGTATATAGAAAATGAAAAACCACTATTCTCAGGGTGATATATATTCTTTATAATTTGGCCGTAAATATGTAATAATAAATAAATAAATAAATATGTCACGTATTTATGGCTGATTTATACTGGACCGTGAGGTGAATTATTTAAAAATGTACTTGGAAAAAAAAAGTTCATTCAAATTCTATACTTTCTTAAATTCAAATGTGATTTATCCATCTAACATCCTCTTTGCTCAAGTTCAATTCAAACTTAGGAGGAAATGAATTTGGAATTAAAACAACTGAAAGTGAATTGAGTTCTGAATGGCACAAACCCTCTCACCTAAGCAGAAACGAATCCTCACACACACCTGTCAGATGCAGATAAATGATTCTCCTCCCATGCTTACCTTTAGAGATCAGACCACCCTGCTGTTGTACCACTGCTGCGCACACAGCTCTACAGCTCAAGTGCACATATCTTTCGCCTCCCAGGGGCGGACTTACCTATTAGGCAAAGGTAGGCGACCGCCTTGGGCCCCCAAAAGCCAAGGGCCCCCTAAAATGCTTTTCATATAGGATATGCGCATTAAGCGTGGACACGCGAACGGTTGCTGTTTACGATGTTTATTACCACAACAACCGTCCGAGTCTGTGGCGCCTTCAGGTGTAGGGCTGTACACACTGTGAGTACCATGAGCGCTCAGACTGCTCTGAGATTTGCCCTGCAAACACTTCAGCAGTTATTATAGGCCTGTGTGTCCCGTATTTCTGTCGACTGAACCCATGCCGTTAATTATGAATTTATCAGTCTTTTGCATGCCAAAGTCAATTTCTGCATAGAAATATTACGCCAAATAGAAGCAGAAAATCGTGCGATACGCACTTTCATGAGATCGGGTTAGCCTACAACAATGAATTTGTTGGCTATTTTACAAATGGGAATACAACGCTACCCGTAAAATTTATAGTGAAAAGTACTTTAAAAGCGTCTGGAATGCAATAAAGTAATTTTAAAGCTGTTTTTTAAAACATTTGCGGCATGGATAAAAATTTGTAATAATTAACATATCATACAAAGTTGCGTTGCAGCAAATCCTTTAAATTTTCAGGTATTCAGAACAGAGCAACATACAAATCAGAAAAAGCAGCTATACAA